GGTAAGTGCCCCAGTAAAAATGATATGCAGAGGCCGAACTCCATATCTAAAGGAGGTGCCATGATTTGTTGCAACACATTTTCAAAGCGATGAGCCTCTATCTTACAATATATCTTCCATTCTATCTTGTAAGAGATTTTTCTTACAATTAAATGATATGACATCTCTAAAACAAATGCCTTTTAGTCAACTTTTCGGATGGCATGCTCAGGGAATAGGGTGAACACTGCAAAATCATTTCATTCCATCCCTAAGCTAGGATAGCGGAGGTGATACCAATGAAGTTGGCATGTTAGTCATTAAAATGAGGCCATATGTCATCCATCCAACATTAATCACCTCTTCACTTCTACTATTAAAACTCACATTTGTAATCATTCAAAGAAAATGCAAATTTACACTTTCAGTTGTAACTTTGTTTGTTAGTATGCTCTCTTCAAACCTGGTTATCATACACGTTATTATGGCTCACATTCTTTGTCCATTTAATACTCAAATACATTTATAGTTAGCTGACTTGATCGTCGAAATATCCATGGCCACGTCCTCTATGTTGGAGAAGGTTAAGTGCACCCAACATTTGTCCAAATGTCCAGAAACTTGACTCGTGACTGGGAATGAAGCTAGAATCAATTAATCACATTGCCCAATCTGAATAGAGGTCAACACTCAAGTCAGGAGAATATTTGTGACAATAATATAGAGCGAGTTTGCACTTTTTTTTATTTTTTAATTTCTTGTGTTATGTTGCATGTGTATAAATGAAAATCTTTCTACAAAAATCAATTGGCTAGGGTTGCAATGATAGGTTCCAAGTCTCAATGCCACCATTCTGACAAACCAAGCAAACACCACTTGCACGTGATCCATCAAGATGTTAAATGTTTGATATGCTAACATGTGGATCCATGCCTTAACTTGTATGAGGACACTTGGCAACTATATATTCGCATGGTCACTATTATCCTTTTAATGTAATTGAATTCAAACACTGTTGAGCACAAACAATCGATGTATTATCAACCACTTTCAACTTTCATTGATAACATAACTCACTATGTGTGTTTCTTAGTGTTGGATTGCATTTATAATAAATGAAAAACATCACTCTGTCAAAGGTTTGGTGATACAACAATGCAATTCAAGTTTCAATAACACTATTGATGCAGGGAAAGATTATAGAAAAGAATAAAATCTCACAAAAAGAATTTCAATCATGAGAAATTCAAGAAAAACCTATATATAATTCAAAACTGAGCTGCCTCAAAGGGCTCACAACA